GGTCGTATGATGCTAGCCCGTTCCGGCGGATTCCATAGCTTACGCTTAAATATCGCCGGCGCGTCCACTACGCTGGCGAACCGTGCTAGACACACTGTGCGTCGGGTGTATGAGCAGTCGGAGAAGAAACGAGCGTGATTCAAAATTGAAGCTGCATGGGATCCGGAACGTTCAGTGTTTTTTGCGCATAGGGATTTGACGCGAGTCGGGCGCGGGATGGATGGAGGGCGGAAAATTCAAAACAACAGAAATGTGCGCGCGCTCATGGTCCAAGCCGAGTCGAACGGGCTCCTGTTGATCGAATGTTGCCGCAGATAGTTAGCGCAGGGGCGACCATTCCGCGGTTGAACCGTGCTAGTAGCGGGATTATGCGGGTTGTGAGCGACTGACCAAGAGACGGGTGCGAATAGTATCGTTTGCAGCACCTTTTCGACGAGAGAAGCGTGAAGCGGCGTGAGTGGGGCGTCAGCAAGAGGGATCCACGCGCTGCTGTTAGAGTGCGTATTGGGGCAACTAGAGGGATGCACACGCTGCTGTTAGAGTGAGAATTGACGAGGGAACGATTTGGAACGATTGGAGAACCAGCGGTGATGCCCAAGCGGTGACTCAAGTACTCGGCGCATCACGGATCATTAATCATTGATGACGTTGCTGCACGATTGATGCCGGCTTGTTTCTTCTGCCCGATTCGCTCTTGGATCCTTTTTGTGGTCTCCTCAACCTCCTCTCTTGCAGACTCGCCCGTCTATTAGCCGCAATGGATTGCAGATCCGCTTTCTGTGGTTCGTGTTCTGCAGACTCAACTTGGACCTCCGGATAAAGCTCCTGGATACATATATCACTGTGCGCACCGCACGCACGCCCCGAACGCCGCGCATCTCATCACACTCCAGGGACGAGATCGACGCGCGTCCGCGGCCCCGCCCCGTCCACCCCTCGCGGCTATGAATCCCCATGCCTGGGCCCCCCCGCCCCCTTACCCACTCCATCCTACCCTCCCGTCTTTCGCGTCCCGCCCAGCGCCCGCCAGGCGATCGACGCGCTTCCACAGCCCAGCCTCACCCACAACGTGTCGTCCTCATGGCATCCGGTCGTGTCTGCCATCCGATGCGCACGGACCCGCTGCGTCCGCGCATTTTCTCCGTGCTGCGTTGAGAGGTACCTCTGTCGAGAAATTGACCCGACATTGGGGGCCCGGGGCGAGGTGCCCGCACTTGCAGAAAGAATCAGGTAGCAGGCGATCTATGGATCAGACTCGGGGCATGGTTGTTTTCTGTCGCCCTTTTTTTTGGCGTTGGGCTGGGGCAACGGAGGAAGTGAAGCGCCGTGCTCCACGTTTCCGCAGGAATTGACGGCGCGGTACGATTTGCGAGTACGCATCCCACTTGAGTAATGTCGTGCACGCATCGATGGTTCGATATCCCATGAACGAACTCTCCTAACGCGGTGCAGCTCAATGCATTCACAACTCGGTGGTGAAGGTATCACATCCGCCGCAACTGCGACGTTGAAAAGGAATATTCTGCGGAAGTCGCCCGTTCGACCCGGGCCCGAGTTAACGTTATACTTGATGTCGTTGTTTTGATATATCTCGCGCGGCTTTGACGTTTGAATTGAGCACGGTAGGTGCCAACCTTTTTCTCGAGTTTAATTCAGATTATCTCATGCGGCGATGAGATATCTCGGTGCCGGATGGATATTGCCGCCGCACGTCGAACGCGAGCCATAGTCTTGAGCAACTTGCATCGGACACACTTGTGCTCACCTGCGTTCAATGAAGCCCCGGACGCGAAGAGGTGCGCACCTGCTTACTGTAAGATCTTAGTTTCTGCATCTCATAGTCGGCAGGGTCGTCAATTCGACTCAGATTCGGGCGCTATGACGGGTCCACTCAGCTTTTTCGCTTTGAACCGCTGTTAATTTTGAGCTGAAGCACGGCAATTACCCAGCTCAGTTATGCTACCGCGGAAGGCATTTGAGCAGCTCCTCCCCAGCCTCTGAAAATGCCTATGGGATGTGAGAAATACATACCATTTCTATTGCTAATTCTACCTAGATTGAACGAGAATTCTGCAGCCGGCTCATCAAACCAGCCATGATCACAGAACTTGCACACACACAGTTGTGCTCACCTGCGTTTAACTGAGCCCCGGACGCGAAGAGGCTCGCACCCACATCCTGTTGCAGTTCCACCTCGTCTAGTTGGTGGGGATAGTCTGTTCGACTCAGACTCGGGGCATGCATGGGCTCCAAAAATTGCGCTTTTTATCTCCGAAGCAGGCTGTTGCAGAGCCGCGAGTCCAGTTTGCGCATAATGAGGGAAGTTGCAGACACTCATGCTCACCTGGGTTCAAGGAAACCCCGCGTTCAGGCGTGAAGACGCTCACACCCGCACACCTTACGATCGTGGGATCTTCTAGTCGGCGGTCGTCGAGCCATCTATTCTCCAATTCTGCGCCAATTCCAACCCATATCCCGCAGGCCGAGCCAAAGCACGCGACAATACGGTGGTGAATGGATCACATCCGCCGGATATTTGATGCTTTAGCGTTTAGCGGCTAGTAGGCCGTCGTTTCAACCCATGCCCGGGCTTCTGCATTCCAAATTCAAGCTGACATTAAAACACAAGTGTCTAATATCAAAGAATGGCAGACGAAGCACCCGCTCCGAACTGCTTCTGGAACATGTCTTGAGCAGCCCTGATGGCGTCATACCCCATTATATATTCTTGCATCTCTTTCGCTGCCATCCACACAAAACTCAGCGGCCGCCGGGACAAAAAAAAAGAGGATGCCCACATCGCACGTACTCTCCGATCTTGGTTGCGATCAGCGCCTGGTCCAGGGACTCGCGCCTAATGAATTCACCGCGCTCCTTGCGCAGCGCCTGATATGCCTCTAGTCGAGCGGGGACCTCCGCGGGCGTGGTCCCCGCCGGAAGCAGCACGCCGAGTGCGCCCGCTTCCTCGACGGCCATCGCCGCGCCCTGCCCAAGGAACGGCAGCGTCGTGTGTGCGGCGTCCCCCAGCAACGCCGCGCGCCCCCGGATCCACGTCGGCAGCGCCGGGACCGTGCGCATCTGCCACTTCAGCACGCGCGGCGCGAGCGGGGCGAGCAGCGGCTGGAGCTGCGCGCGGAAGCCGGCGTACATCGCGCGTACCTCCTCGCGGGAGGGCTCGGGCTCCAATCTGCACACACCGTGTCAGCGCAGTCGGGGGAGCGCGCTCGGCGCTGTACCTAGGTCGTCCTGGCTCGGGTCCTCGAACAGCCTGGCCCAGTTCATGGACTTCCGCTCGCGACAGAGGTACATGAACAACATGCGGAACGGACCGCCGCGCTGCAGGATACTGCGCGCGCCCGAGAGACTCTCGCGGAGCCACGCGAGCTCAGGGACTGCGTCGAATTGTGCGGTTTCGATGACAGCACGATGGATTGACAATCCGGAGGCAAGGGACTTCTGGACGCGGCCGGGGACGTGGGTGCGCATGACGGACTGGATTGTGCGGGTTGAAGTGAGCCGTCGCAGCTGGGATGACCATTCCTTCCTCGCTTACTGAAATTCCATCGGCCCTGAGAACCACGTCGCCCAGAATTACGCGTCCGTCGTGCAGCGTCAGCGTTCCAGTCTCAGTGTCGTATCCTAAAACCTGACTGGAGAGGTGTAGAACCACGGGTGGGCCGTTTCCGGGCCCACACGCCAGGCGCTTGAGCGGCGAGTAGATCACTCCGATGGCAAGCTATGTTCTGCGCGAATTCAGTACGCGAAACACAGCCAGTATCGAAAACTGAAAACGGACCGGTTTGTCCAGGACTGCGGGAATTAACCATGGGACCGTTTCTCTTTCAGCACTGACGGCCTCGAACTTTTCGAGCTAAAGGTTCAATGAGCTCGTCGGGAAATATAGTGTCGTTGAAAGAGCCTCACCCCTTCATATTTGACGCCCCTCAGGTTCTCCTTCGCGTATCCAAAACTTTCCAAAACGCGTTGACTGTTGATGGGGACGACCATGGCAGCCCCGACCTCTGTCTTTTTGGCGAGTGTATGCAACCAATTCCACCACGGCCTCCCACACCTCCAAATCAAAGCATTCAAATACTCGGGTGAAGACATCACGTCCGCCCAATTGATGTCGGTCGCAGTTATTGACGTCCATCCTGTTAGCCATCGAGATTCCGCGGTGCCTGTGGAAGCAAACGAGTCTTACTTGCCCTGGCGAGCCCGAATGGTCTGCTACAGAACCTCATTCACGACTTCCCTCCCGCCACTTTGAACGAGCCATATCCATCGCGGGACGTCCGCACACAATCATTTTCAATCCCTCGCACTCGAGCCCGAATGCGAATCGCCTCGCACCTGCATGCAGTGGTAAGTCCAAATTTGATGCAGCAGGCATCGTCTGTTCAATCCAGAGTCGGGGCGTAAACTTGAATTTGCAATTTTTCTTCGACTTATAGGTAGACCTAGCATTAACCGCGTGCTGCACAAAGCGGCGCATTCCAATTTGCCGCGCGCGGTTCCCACCCGATTAACTTGGACGCTCACACGATCGACTGAGGCATGGGCTAATTTCGCAGTGGGAGTTACTTCTCACATCACAATACGGTGGCGAGAGTAGGTGGCCAATGTCCGAACGAAATGTGACGCGGCTCTGATATAATCTCTGCTTCAAGGTTCTCAAAAATAGCCGAATTGGATGTGATTACTATTACGATTACGCGGTGAGATGAGTAAGTAATAAAAAGAGTGACTGCATCGATAGAATAACGAAAGAATCGTACGTAGATTAAGGTTACTGTATAATGAGTGCGTGTATACGCGAACCCGATGCAATTGAATGTAAGTACCTACGTGCCTGTCGCCCTCGGGCTGGACAGCGATAGCAACTGACCGAGCATGCCCTTGATGTCCGATAGCTCCGTCTCGAGCGATGTAATTCTGTCTTCGAGTTTCGGCTTCTTCGTCTGCATCAACAGCTCAGCGCAGTCTGGCAGACAGTGAGACATGTTAGACACTGACCTTGCGGTACACCTCGGAGATACTCGCGGGGTCGGCCGCAGACGTGGGCCGCTCTGAGGGCCGGCGCTCGAAATCGAAGTGGTAGAAGTAATCCGATGCGCGCTGATGCTGGAAAGCGAATTATTAGGTCTGGAGGTTCCATTTATTCGGAGGAGCAGACGTACCGCACCGCGTCGCGGGCCCCGAGGAAGAGGCGGAGGCTTTAACCAGGATTGTTCAGCTGGGGAAGACACGCGCTGGAAACACCTACCGCCAGTCTGCGTGGCGGACTTCCGTGGCCCGAGTCGTCGGATCCGGTGCGACTTGGCTGCGGCGGAAGGGGGAACACGAGAATATTCTCCGGGGGGTGGGCGATCTGCTCCGTCGATCGTGTTCGTCGGAACCGGAACCCATCTGATTCTCAACGGGCTCATTGTGGTGGTGGTCGGGTGCTGAAATTCAGTCAGCGCACTGGGAAAGAACGACCACCGACAATGATCTCACATCTTGGAAGACCTCATGCCAATCATTAAAGATCCCACCGGCGAACATTGCACAGGAACCCCGTGTCGAGGCGCTGCTGCTTCCAGCTCTGGGTTAATGTATGGTACCGCGCGCTAAACGCCGATACGAGATTCTTGAGGCTGCACGTCATCATCTCCAGTTCACGCTCGCCGAGCACTAGTCTGTTCGCCGCGTCAATAATGTTGCCGATGCCGATCCAGGAAGAGCTCGAGGAAACATAGGATGAACTGCGAGAGGATCTTCAGCACAAGTAGCACTCATAAAATACAGTTCGTACCCCTTCTAGCCGGTAGGTCCTACACGGCCAAGACCTGAAGCGACTCGGAGTAAATTTCTGGCGACCGCAGAGTAAAATCCCATACCGTCTCAGGGCTGTCCACTGATACCGGATCCTGTCAACCGCGACTGGATATGCTCCGTTCTTTTCGCATGATCTCCTCTCTCAGCTTAGTGAGCGGCTCCATTTCGGGCGCCTGATGGGTGGCGCGGTGCGCGAGCCCATCGGTTGTCAGCGAGTTGACGACGAGCCAGAGCTCCGAGAGCCCACTCGTCGTAATGTACGCTTTCACGCTACGGCGATTCTGGGGAGGACCGTCCGCGCGGAGGCCTCGATGTCGGCGAAGAGCGCCTGCAGGGAATGCATAGATGAGTAATTGACGCACGGTGTTAGATGGAACAACGGACTTTGCATCGTGTTTTATATCTAAAACCGGGATCAGTACATGATAACCTGCAGTAAGGAATAAAAATACGCTAGCGCATTTTGCTTCCACCCCGCTGCCCAGCTAAATCAACGAATGAGCAAACCACTCAGAGACACGCCAAAACGATTGCTCACAACGCGAGCCACTGCACCGCAGACCACCCTTCGGCCGCGATTTGAAAAACGGTTCACCTCGTGCACGGAAATGTATCCGCTGCCGTCGTCGTCAATGGCGTCTGAGATGCTCGGGTAATCTGCCGGCGCTCAGCATAACTTTGAACATCTTTTAGCGAGAGAACGCACAAATGACCTGGCTGAGAACGTTTAACGTCCAC